ACTTAAATGAATAATCGTATTGCAATAAACATGATCCAATCATATTTATGCTCAACGCAAACACCAAATAACATTTATTTTAGGTTCGACACTAATGCCGAAGGTAAAGGGTGTGTGTGATGGTGATCTTATCAACCTTGGAATCACTTCCAACTCGCATCATCACCTTGCCCTTAACTAGTCTCTGTTTATTTTACAAGTCCCGTTTTGAGTTACTACTCTTAGCAACTAAACCAGTATCAAATACTAAGGGGTTGCTATAAACACTGGTAAAGTACACATCAATAACATGTATATCAAATATACCTTTGTTCACTTTGCCATCCTTCTTATCCGCCAAGTATCTAGGGTAATTCCACTTCCAGTGACCATTTCCTTTGCAGTAGAAACACTCAGTTTCAGGGTTGGGTCTAGCTTTGGGCTTCTTCATGTGAGTGGCAACTTTCTTGCCATTCTTCTTGAAGTTCCCTTTCTTTCCCTTGCCCTTTTACTTGAAACTAGTGATCTTGTCAACCATCGACATTTGATTCTTTTCTTGATTTCTACCTTCGTTGATTTCAGCATCACGAAGAGCTCGGGAATCGTTTTCGTCATCCCTTGCATATTATAGTTCATCACGAAGTTCCAGTAACTTGGTGAGAGTGACTAGAGAACTCTGTCAATCACTATCTTATCTGGAAGATAAACTCCCACTTGATTCAAGCAATTGTAGTACTCAGACATTCTGAGCACATGCTCACTGGTTGAGCTATTCTCCTCCATCTTGTAGGCAATGTACTTGTCTGAGGTCTCATATCTCTCGACTCGGGCATGAGTCTGAAATACCAATTTCAGCTCCTGGAACATCTCATATGTTCCGTGACATTTCAAAACATTTTTGAAGTCTCGGTTATGTTGTTAGAGGTACTTTTATGGAAATTACTTTAGGAGAAGCTACTAAACTCCTAGATAATATTATGATTAATTATTCTCAATGGCATACCAAAAGATCTTCCACTAGTAAAAAAGTGCATGCGATTGAAGAAATTAATGTTTTGAGTGGAAAGATGGATGAACTTATGAAATTATTTGCTAGCAAGAGTGCTTCTATTGATCCTAATGATATGCATTTGTCTACTTTGATTGAGAATAATAATGAGTCTATGGATGTGAATTTTATTGGTAGGAACAATTTTGGTAATAACGAATATAGAGGTAATTTCAATCCTAGGCCTTTTCCTTGTAATTCCTCTAATAATTATGCTAACTAGCCGTCAACCCCGTGCACTTGCATGGGCTAGATATTTCAATAAACAATGATATCACTTTTTATTTTTATTTTCTTCTATATTGTTTGTTAAATATTCTAAAGATCTCTCCAAGAATGAAATATAAAAACTAAACTTGTGTGAAATTACACAACCTAAGTTGTTTCCACCCGGACCTCAAAACACGGTTGAGTGTGGCAAGATATGTTTTAACGCATCTTACCAAACATGAGCAGAGGACACAGGTCTTAAAAACTTATCAATCCTTGAATCTACCTAGAAATGGATAACTATTGCGTAGTTGTCCTGAATTGAGTACATATATACTTTAGTAATAAGTAATGTTGCAAACATAACTTAAGCTCTAGCAATACAAACCCAGTAGGACTCATCCAAACTTCAAAAAATATCACGATTGGGTTTTTGATCAGTGATGAAACCAAATTAAAGACAACTAACTTTTGATCTATCATTATGTGGTTTTCATTTAATCGGCTACAAAACTTATTAGGCTAGATTCTCTCTATTATGGCGACTTACAGGGCATATGGAATTTCAAAATTAGTAACAGTAGTTTTCCTTAGTCCTCATCATAGCCTCATTCGGTGCTTTGTATATATGCCCACCCTTTGACCACACTTCTCCTTGCATTCAGTGTGAACATATATAGTTTAAAGACAGAGTAAAGGGAAACATATCTACATAACCTTTTTACCTTTAAACACTGGTTGAAAGAAACTAATCAGTTTAGCAATAATGATTAGAATAAATTACTCTGAAATATCATTTACGAATCTAACTTCCACAGATTCTATAGTAAAACAGCTAGGAGTATAATTGGAGCAGTGCTAAGAAAACTCCATTCTCATGGATGGAGCAGTAAATTGCATGGTAAATTGTAAAAGTTGAGGGAAAAAGTAGCAACATAATAGTATATCAACAGTCAGATGCAGACTACGCTACAAATAGTTTCTTACAGAGAAGAAAGGCCAGCCTGATCATATATTAGGAATTTTCAACAGTCATTTTATTTTATAAAGACATCATTCTTAATATAATTTAACGTGTGTGCTAAGTTATACTAATCTCTTGCCATCCTTTACCTTTGGATCATCTTAATTATTCTAACATATAAGGTTGCTAGCCAACTTGGCTCTATGAGGCTTCCCCGATTTCCTTCGATTTCGGCCATTGGATCTGGTCAATCTGGTTTTCAAATCATTCTGGGACGTTTGATCTATGTTGTTTATTTTACCTCGTTGTAATTTCGCAGGACCAATGACTGGTGGGCTCATGTTCTGTGGCGATTGGCTGGGTGAGCCGTTCGTGGGTGCGAGCGAGCCTGTCTTCGCACGCCGCGCGTCGTGCGGCCTGTCGCGGGCGTCTCCTCCCACTATTGCCACTGTTGGCCGCCCAGTCCCCACAACCACACCCCTCCGTCTCTCTCCCTCGCCAGCCGCCAGAACACGAACCCTAGCCCCTTTGCCCAATCCAGGCCGCCGCCGCTGCGCCCCTCACTCCTCCCTCCTCCTCATCAACACAGCCAGCAGGACCCTTCCTTCTTAGGCCCCATGGCGGGTGGTCGAGTCTGGAGCGGGATAGAAGGTCGTGGGAAGTTCGGCGCCGGCGGGAGGAAGCAGTAGGGGTGGGTGGATCAGCAGATGCAGGCGAGATCGGTTGAGAGAGGCTAGCAAGCCAGAGCAGCAGGAGCAAGGAGCTCGAGGTGATTCATGGTTTACCCCTCCTCCCCCGTCCTCTATCTTCCCCTGCCCTCACTCTCGTCTCCTTTTTATCTCATGGGTGACGGCGTCGGCTGGGCGCAGCGAGGAGTGGAAGGCACATGCCACGTGCGGGACGGAGCAGCAGGAGCAAGGATCTGGTAGCGATTTAGGGTTTGCCTCTCCCTCCTCTCTACCCCCCTCACTCTCCCCCTTTGTCTCATGGATGAGGGTGTCAGTTGCAGGGGCGCCACAAGGAGTGGAAGGCCAAGGTCGCCAACTCTACAAATTTGAGGTTCAGGCAGCATTGTTGAGGTACGCAGGATTGGTGCGTTTTGCTGGGAGCTATTTCTTTATTCACCAGACCAGGCACATGCAAATCTTCGTATTTTTCAAGGTTGTTGGGTCTCCAGTCTGCACATACATGGGTTGCATTCATTTTCTCATATTTGTTTCTTCTGGTTCACAACATCTACCTAGCCTGCTTTGATGTACCTTTATTAACATGTTATCAGTTATACGATCACTTTTGGAACATGTGTGCAATATACCACATGGTTTTGTGAGACATATAATTTTAGTTTATGCGGCAATATCATTTGTGGCTAAATCTCTAGGGTCTTAATTACAGGAGATAAACTAGGAATCCGAAAATACAAAAAGGGAACACAATAAACCTATTACAGTACGTACTTCTCTCTAACAACCTCAATGTCGACTGGTCTTTGCGCCCTGAGTTCTTGACCCACTCAATTTATTTATCCCTTCAGAAATTTAATCAATTTTCTCAATCCTTTTGTTGTTGATTGCAGTTCATTGGATTAACTTTTTTCATATTTCTTCTCATTGCATCAATTAAAATGCAAAATAGATTTGTTGTCTTGTGCTATCCCATAAAATTAGAAATGGGAATTTAAGCTTTACACGGTCTTATCAGGGATGATGCCACTAAGATTTTTATAATTATGAATTTAGTCCTTGTCGAAGTTTGGCTACTGAATTTACATTATATTGCAAAGGAATGCTATAAACTATAGCCGGTTCTTTCATATAGTATTGTCGTTTCTATAATGTAAGTTGTGGCTGCGTTACTTCTTCCAAATCTTCATAATGCTTTTTGTCATGCAGCAACTTGCTAGCGAGTCCTGGTCTGTTGCAGTTGATTGTGCATGTGGAGGGCTTCTGGATACATTTATTGTCTCATGTTATAAGGATTTACATGTTTTGCAAGAATACATGAGTAGAGTATATTACAATAACCTTCGAATTATTGTGTATGATTTCACTAGACAACCGTAATATTAAGGCTGTCTTTTTCAACATTTTCTATTTATTTTTGTTTCTGAATTTGGTTTGGATTATGATGATGCTAGGCTAGAGGTTGTTCTTGGTCCTGCCATCCTGATGCTTGTTTCTGAATTTGGTTTGGATTGGAACAACCTGTGGTACAGGGAAGATGCAAGTTCTGGATGCGAGGCACTACAAGCTATACCTGGAGAACAAGTTCAGGGATGGGACCTGGGAGTACGAGGACCTCGGCAGTTACTTTAGCGACGGGAGCTTGATACTGCTGCCACTGTCATCTTCAACCACGACCACATCGATACCCCATGCGTCAAAAGTTTGAACCTGAACAATTTATCCATTCTAGCACTTCATTATGACACTCACACTGACTGTGACATCGTTTGTGCAGATATTCTCAATGCCAAGTCTTGGATCTGGGATTGCTCCAGCCTGCTTCCCAAGGCATACTTCACCCCAGTTGATAATATGCAAAAGATATTCCCTTCAGTTTTGAATTAGAGTGCAGTGATGAAGAAGATTCTTTTTCAATTTAATGAATTGGTCCAAATCGATTGTAAAGTTTGACAAGTGGCCGTCCTCTAAAGAAGGCTCTTCAGAAAGGTAATTCTCGAAAAAGCTCTAGCGTATATATGTGGAAGCATAGAAACAATTCTCTGTTTTTTAACAGATATATGTTGATGCACGGAAAATGTATACGGTGGTTTCCATTCTGTGTCATGGGTAGTACATGGAGCTTATTTACTTGGCCACTCTTATGGTTTTATTTTATCTATACTTGATAACTCAAGAGCTAATGTTAGGTTCTACCATATTGATTTTTAGCTCCGGTTTATTAGGTTCTGCTGTGGGTAGAGGAGCAATTAGTGTTCTCAGTTTATCTAATGAACGTCTGTTGACGCATGCAAACGGTATAGAAACAAATACCCTTATCTGTTTTCTTCCATTTGGTAATAGGTTTCCCTTCATCACATGCTTATTTTTCTTTCACAAAATAGTTTTACATTTCCGAAGATTATTAACTTAATAAGATGCTGGTGTCCATTGGTAAAATTAGCAAGTCGTTCCCTCTTTTCATCTGCTCACTATTTCTGCTACCGTTGGTAAAAGTGCGGTGTGGTCACCATACAATGGTGCCGTCAGCAAGTATTGTTAGCAGTTTTCTTTTTGAAAACTAAAAGTTGATTCCATTTGCCATGGCCATGAGATGACGTTGTGGCCATGGATGTTCTCTGCAAGTACCATCTTCTTCCTCATTCCCTCCACGCACCAATGTTTTTTTGCTTGTGCTCTTACAAATTAGTGCAAAGCTAGAAGTTAATTTCTGAACTTAGGTATGTTATTATCAATGGTTGAATTTTCTAAGATGTTTCTGTTTATAGGAATAATAGTAGGACCATCTTGATCCCCATGATGTGTGGACTGTGGACACATTGTTTGTGCTCCCATTTATCGTATCTAGAAGGCCACCAGCTTCATTCACGCTTCTATGTAACTGCTTGATGCACAAATAATCATGCATGAGGACTGAGGCGTAATGCACTTTGATATTTCTATTTTTCTTTAATTGCTGCCAAATTATTGCCTTTGTATTGAAGTGCAAGAATGTTACCTCAACTGCAACTGCTTGACCATTTCCTTCCCAGGACTGAAAGTTTTCTTGAAGCAAAGACGTCTAGCTGACATGCTCTTCATTTTTCTGGGTAGTAATATAGAAGATGACACAGATAGAGATTTATCTGTACCATCCAGACATACGTATGTCCATTTTTTAGAGTAGCCTAGGAAGTACACTGCATACAACATTCATAAATCACAATCACATATTGTGCTCATTGTCCAATGTGTTGTAGGACTCGGTTAGGATATCATGTTTGTGGGGCAATCTGTTGTGGTTGCAATGTTTAGTTCGTAAGTTAACTGCGATTGTGTTTCACGCATTTAGCTTATAAATTAATGAAGTTTACACATGTTCAGTTGGCATTCATGCTTTATTTCTTTTATTAGTTAGTTTACTGACCATATTGAGACAATAAATATAAAAACTTTGCAGCTTATGTTTCCTTCTGGAAACATTATTTTCGATAAATGTGAATAACAAGAGTGTGTTACTGTCTTTATCTTTATTGGCTGTAGTTTTGATCTACTTTTGTTACAAGATATTTCATCAATTCCTGTGTAGACATACATTTATTGGTTTACTTCTGAATGCATCTTAATCTGCACTTGTAGGCTCTCCGGGGTTTGATGATGTATGTGAATGTCTGAATAAGTTATTATTATTTTTCCAATAAATAGACACGCTAATTAGATCCAGAAATGTGTCGTTACATCTCAGCTTTGCAGCTTCACGCCGTAGTATCAAATTTTGGCAGCCGACTGGCCCTGCCTCCGTGGTTGTGGCACCAAGGTCACCACATATTACATCTTGATGCATGTAAAACAATATGGTTAAGATCCCTGTGTTTGGTTAATTTATGGACTTGCTGACATATATATTCATTTCTATTTTGTGCTCATGAGGTACTTGATGTGCGTACAATAGGTGTGTTAGGCTGAAGCATGAGGCTGGAAGGGATCTTGTGCTATGACGAGCATTTGCTTTACCAAACCAAAATGCATTTGTTGGTCTCATGTCCATGAGAAGCTCCAGTTTTGTCGGCAATAAACTGTAGCAAGTAGTGATTGGTCCGATGTCCTTCGTGGGATGCAATTATGGCATGGTTTCTCAATAAAAAAAATAGCTTCATGTTGTATATGAGTATGATAGCCATTCATATGTTGTTCTTCATGTATCAGATTCCAGGAATATTTGGATGGTTGATGAGTTTCCCATGTTTGATGAAATTTTACCTTTTCAAAATCGGCCGAGGCTTGTGAGAATAGCACCGCTGAACTGGTGGACACTTCTATTTCATCATGTATGCAATGTCCCCTTTTAATGTTGTTCTTTTTGGGTTTTATAAGATTAAGATCTATACTTGGCCATAAATTGAGTCTGATGTTCATGCATTTAATGTTGGTCAGATTTTAGGAATTTTTATTTTCATAATGATTCTGAAACAAGGTCACTCCAATCGATCCTGCTCCTGTGTGGTGGCAGGATGATGGTTCAGGAACGCAGGGTGGGCGAAAGAAAACTATGATCGCTTTTATCTCTGGTCATTTGGAGCATATATGGAGGGACAAAGACAGCGGGCTTTGAGTTTGATAGTGTCTTCACGACGGTCCAGAGGGTCATTGATCCTGATACTAGCACTAGGCTCACGTGAGCTTGGGTTGTTTGATCGTGCCCGTTTGTGTAAATACTCCCCTGTAATATATGCAATCCTATTGCATGGTTTGAAAAAAGAATTATTCTGAAACTGGAGTTTAGAGCAGTGTACACTGCTTGACCACAGCTAAACCTACTAATACATGGAATTTTTACAAAGCACACATGGTGTCACTGGGTCTCTCTGTGCTATTTGGCGCAATGGATCATCTAATGCTCCTAACTAATGAAAATATTTGGAAAGCGCTAATGATTTTAAAGGTACATATACTTTTAAACAAAAGCCTATGTATTTTTTTTGCTCAAACACGAAGTCACTAAAAAATGCAAATGTTTTTCAATGTGAACATGATTTTAAATGGGTCTCTACGAACATGGCAGCAAATATTTCGTGCTATTAGATTAAAATGTGTATATACATCTCATTATAGACAACAATTCATCATGTTTCTTATTAAAGGGGATTAAACCATCCCCGCAAAAAAAAGGGATTAAACCATGTGTATTTATTTCATCTTGCAAATGAATTTAACGTGCCTCTGCGCCATTTGGCGCAACGGGTCCACTAGTTTTCGTAAATAAGAAACAACTGCTAACATTGATGCACTATGTGCTACACTTGGTGTGTGTGCACTGATCGACGAAACCTCCTATTCAAGCGAACTACAAAGAAGAGCAACTAAAGTTTCAATATTCTAGTTTTAGTTTCCACGTTGACC